AAAGATACATATATTACAAAACAGCATCAGCCGCAGCAACGTTGTGCGCTGAGCGGGATGCGGCTTCATACTGAACGTTCGGCTGTCGAGGCCGGCGTTCGGCTGCCACTCTCAGCAGTCTTACTTTGTCTGGGCACACTAAAATGGTCGCGGTCACCCATGGGGCTCAGTCGTTGACGATTTATCGGTATCCGATTATTTTAACATTTGACAAGTCTATGCATTGTATGGTTAGTGATAATATGTTGAAATATTGCCACCTTTTTGTTATTATACTGTGTATATCCACATAAATGCACTGTTGCGTTATTTAGCAGCTGTCTATATTTCCAAAGATAATGTTTTATTGTAAAATACCAATTATTTCATTTACCTCATTTGTTTCACATATACAAATATTTTAAATTAATTTGTTCCCGCTCAATACTGTATAACATTATTCAACACCGATTCCAAGCAGTGGTTCGGTTCACGTTAGAGCTAGTAACTCGATTACATTTTATTATTTTTCTAAAACTAGCTGATCGATTTGTTTAGAATTAGTGCGTAAGGCTTCCTAAAGCATGTATCTTCAAGTTAGTATAGCGTGCATTGAGGGCCATTGTCCCTGAAAAAAGATATTAGGGCTTAAGTGCAAGGCTAATTTTTTACGGTCATTTTGTATGGGGCTAGCAACGAGGTTCCTGCACTGCTGTACAAACATCTTTAAAACGTGCTGATCGATTTTTATAATTTTTTTAAGATTGGTTAGGTGAAACTATAGGCTTTAATCGTGTATATGCGGTTTTCGGGGCCATTATCCCTGAATTAAGATATTTAAAGAATTGTGGCAACCTAATTTTTCAACCCCTTGGTATACCCATATTATAAATTAAAATTCCAAAACAAATGAATGTAGACAGTAAATAATTTAATATTTTGCAATTCTGCATTTAAATTTATTGGGTTTTGTGCTTAAAAACATTAATAAATGCATTTAAAAGTGACCGATTCCTTTTCCGATACCAAGTACCAAAAATCGACGCTAAGTCACCGCCGATAATTTGACGCACGTCGCAATACTTCCGGCCCATTCCGAAGTTGCCCGTCAAATAAAATTATCTTCAGTAACAAATTATATAACGTACGAAACTTTGAGTGACTATGAAATAGTCAATGTAAGAAAGTCAAAACCGCGTTATGCAAAAATTAATTCAAAACTTTCCGCCATTATTCAAAACAAAATTAAAATATCTGTGCACTAAGTATACAGACATATTCGGAATAGAAGCCGAATCAATAACATAGAATAATTTTTATAAGCAAGAGTTAAGATTAAAACATACAGAACCAGTGTACATTAAGAATTATAGAATACCTCATACTCATAAAGAAGAAGTAGTAAAACAGGTAGAAAAACTCATTGTTTAGAACCATCAGTATCAAAATACAGTATAATTTGCTTAGCTGCAATAAGAGCTAATTTTGTATGAAATTAATTACGTTAAGAAGTAGTAAAACAGGTAGAAAAACTCATTTTTTAGAACCATCAGTATCAAAATACAGTATAATTTGCATAGCTGCAATAAGAGCTAATTTTGTATGAAATTAATTACGTTAAGTGCATCCAACTTAACAGCCTTTTGCACTTAAGCGCCTTCTAAAGGCAGTAAAAGAAGTTGCCAATCATGCCAATCTATTTCACAATTATAATACTTCTTCACAAATAAAGCTAATATTAAGAATATAACTGGCCAAGAGGCCAAAGTGGTGACCCCGAACGTTAAATAGGACATTACATGCAAAACGAGTACTATTTTCTGAGGTCCACGTCCATAAAGCTCACAATTCGCGACACTGACGAATTTTTCGGCGCAACAAACATGGCGACCCAAGATAGCGGGCTTAATGAAGAACTTTAAGAATTGAAGGTGCAAGTGCAGGAACTTCAATCGTCGGTTGCACGGCCACTAGCAGGAAATGTTCAGCAATGCTCACAGATCAATGCTCCGAAGTTCAACAAATGCAATCCTCAACTTTGGTTTGCACAATTGGAGCGCCTGTTTCTCTTGCACAATGTTGTAGCTTATGATCGCAAGTTCGACTTGGTGTCGGTACACTTGGAGGAGGATGTCGCTCTTACCATCGAGGAGCTCATCACAAATCCACCTTTGAATAACAGATACGGCGCGTTGAAGCAACGGCTTCTCGAAACATTTGCAGAATCAGAGGACTCAAAATCAAAGAGACTTCTGCAAGGTCGCGACATGACCGGCAAGAAGTAATCGGAAATCCTTACACACATGCGTCGTTTAGCACCCGCTAATGGCTGCGAAGCCGTTATACGCACACTCTTTATCGCCGAGCTGCCAATGTCGGTTCATCCGCTAATTTCGGTCTGGGAGGAAGACGACCTAAATAAGTTGGCAAAAATAGCGGACAAGATGCTGGAAAACAGTGGAATGGAACCGACTTACGTAATGTCGACACAAACGGCATCTGCTGAGCAAAATCAGCAGAATATAGAAGCGGTCAGTAACAATAGCCCTAGTTTAACTGATGTTGCGGCCGCCTTGCACGCGCTTTCGCAGAAAGTCGATAACTTACAGGACGAATGTCGCAGCTCAAAATAGGCATATGCACGCCGACCAAAACCGATAAACGACAAGGAATGGGGGGATAAAAGATCGCTCTGCTTCTACCACAGCAAGTTTGGCGATCGCGCCCTTAAATGCCAACCTAGCTGCCCACTATACCAACAGTTAAACTAGAGCGGCTGCCGATAACTCACCTGCGGGGCGGCAGCATTTCCACGACCAGCAACCATTTATCACAGGCGACGGCGGGGCAAGACCACCGTCTGCACGTACAGGATCTGCATACTAATCATATCTTCCTCGTTGACTCTGGATATGTGGTGTCAGTTGTGCCTTGCACAATGACAGACAGCAAACTACAAAAAGGAAAGCTGCAATTATATGCCGCAAACCGAACCACAATACAAACATATGGCAACCTACATCTAGAGCTCGACTTAGGCCTGGGTCGTGCTTTTAAATGGTCATTCATCATTGCTGATGGGCAAACTGCAATAATTGGCGCTGACTTTCTGTTACAGATCTATTTGCTCATAGACATCAAGAAACAACGTCTTATCCCAACACAGGAGCACCCAACTTTCGGCAACTCAATCAACTCGCAGCAATTCGAAGCTGCAAATATTGCAAGAAAACTACACAGCCCTCACGCAAAATATACCGAGGCGGTCAACACGGCCAAAAACTTTAGCGAAAATCGCCCATCACATGAAGTTCGCCACTACATCATCACAGCTGGAGCACCAGTAGCAGATCGTCCACTGCGATGGGTGAGAAACTGGCATCAGCGGAAGCACGAATCCATCAACTGATCGGCGAAGGAATCTGTCGCTATTCCAAAAGTCCATGGGCAAGTCCGCTGCACATGGTAGCAAAGACTTAGACTTAGAGCGCGCGTACTATCAGATACCGAAGGCATAAGAAGACATTGAGAAAACTGCAGTATGCACTCCGTTTGGTTTGATTGAATTTGTATACATGCCATTTGGACTCAAAAATGCAACGCAAACTTTCCAACGTTTCATGGTCCAACTTTTCCGAGGTGTCGACTATGTGTTCTGCTACATCCTGATAATTTCAAACTCAGTGGAAAAGCATAAGCAACACGTGAACAATGTCCTACGTATCCTGAAAGCAAACGGCCTCAGGATTAACCACAAAAAATGCAATTTTCAAAAAACGGCGGTGCTGTTTTCAAGCTACACAGTTAATGGCAACGGTGTTAAACCTCCAGAGGATCGCGTCAAGGCGATCGCAGAGTACGGTCGGCCATAAACAATATGCGAACTGGGCCGATTCCTGGGTATAGTGAACTACTATCGCCGCTGTATACCGCATACACCAGAAACTCAGGCAAAAGAATGACAAACGACCTGTAGAGTGGACGGCGAAGACAACCAGGGCATTTGCAAGTTGCAAAGCCAGCATTGCAAATGCAGCCACTCTCTCTCATCCTTCTCCACACGCAGATCTGAGCCTGACGTATGATGCCTCCGACACAGCCATCGGTGCGGTACTGGAGCATTACAACAGAGGTACACTAGAGCCCCTAGGTTTCTTTTCGAAAAAGCTTAGTGAAACGTAAGGCAGGTACAGCATATATGACAGGGAGCTACTAGCAATCTATGAAGCGATTAAGTATTTCAAGGACATGCTAGAAGCACGGGTTTTTGTAATAAAAACTGATCACAAGCCGCTGATATACGCATTCGCCCAAAAATCTGAAAAGCCATCAGAGCGCCAACTACGCCAATTAGGATTCATCTCCCAGTACTCCACAAATATCCTACATGTAAACGGCAGCGACAACGTAGTAGCAGACGCGCTTTCCAGGATCAATGCCATAACGATGCCGACGACTATCGATACAAAAAGCATTGAAGCGGCCCAAGCAACGGACAGCGAACTGATAAGTATTTTAAATGGAGAGACATCGTTACAACTACAGTCAACATATTTTCAAATGTTCACCGACTCTCTCATCCTAGTGGCAGGTCTAAAATCAAACAAATTTTTACTAAATATGTTTGGCCGTCGATGCGTAAGGACATCTTGGAGTGGTCACGAAATTGCTTGCCATGTCAGAGGGCAAAAATACATAAACACAACTCGATGTTTCCTACCAAAATCACTGTCCCTGACCGAAGATTTGATCACATACACCTCGACATTGTCGTGATGCCTTTGGCAGGTGGATACAGGTATCGCCTGACGATGATCGACCGGTTCTCTCGCTGGCCGGAGGCAGTACCTCTGCAGGATATGACAGCACAGACGGTCTGCGATGCAATTTGGTCAGGCTGGATATCACGGTTTGGGTGTCCCTTGATAATCACCACCTACCAAGGGGCCCAGTTCGAGTCTGCGCTCTTCATATCATTGGCCAATTTATTGGGAAGTGAACACATCCACACGACACCATACCACCCACAGTCAAACGGCATGGTCGAGCGTTGGCATAGGTCTATGAAAGCCGCTTTAATGTGCAACCCGCAGACCCCATGGACCAAACTACTTCCAACTGTAATGCTTGGCCTCCGAACGTGCTTCAAGGAAGATCTCCAAGCGTCAACTGCCGAAATGTTGTACGGGTGCACACTTCGCCTCCCCAACGAATATTTCTATGACCTGGACGCACCCTCGAATCCATGTCACTTTGTCAGTCAGTTTCGCACCGACATGCAGGCGGTAAGGCCGACGCCAGCTTCGCATCACAGCAAGCCGAAACTCTTTCTGCACAAAGCATGAATGCTCTCATGTATTCGTCAGGACTGACGCGGTAAAGCAGCCATTGGAGCCTCCATACTCAGGACCGTATGAGGTGATATCCAAGCCATCAGATCGGGTCTTCGTCGTGCGGATCAATGGCAAAGGAACAGCATTGTCAATCGACAGATTAAACAGCATTTATGACAATTGAAGAGGCTGACGAAGCCGTCCCCACGAATGACAATCTATGACTTGGCTAGGGGGGAGTACTGTGGCAGCCCTAGCCACGATCTACCGGCCAATATATATCGGGCCGATCTCTAAGCTGCCATTCACGAGGAGCAGACAAGAAGTTGCCAATCAGAGCTAAGACCGACAAGAGGACAGAAGACGAACTATTTCACAATTATAATACTTTTTCAAAAATAAAGCTAATATTAAGAATATAACTGGCCAAGAGGCCAAACATGTAAGTTAACTGCGCCATCTATGATCAGATGTTTTGATTTTATATTAATTCTTCTTGTGTATACAATAAACTGTATTGAAATTGAATTAAAGGTAATTTAAATACATAAAGTTAATAAAAACTACCAAATTAATATATTAATCTTAGTACTGTTAAACAAAATTCAATGCAACTTAAAAAAAGTCGAGGTTACTATGAAATCGATTCACTTTTAGGAAAAAAATAAATTAAGTTAACTGCCTTTTTAGGATAGCTGCCTCTAATGTCTGTGCAAAGTACTCGAGGCAGCTAAGCAAATTATACTGTATAATAGTCCGATAATTCTTGTACCAAAGAAAGGTCTACCAGGGTCCGATGCTAAGAGATGGCGATAAGTGATAGACCATCGCCAAATCAACAAAAAGCTCTTGTCAGATAAATTTCCACTTCCAATAGATGATATTCTTGACCAACTAGGCAGATCAAGGCACTTCTCATGTTTACATTTAATGTCTGGTTTTCACCAAATATAATTAAAAGAACAGTCCAGAAACATAACGTATTTTTCAACGAGCAATGGCTCATATCGTTTCACACGATTACCTTACCGTCTATAAATGGCGCCAATTTCATTCCAAACAATGATGATAATCGCTTTTTCTGGATTAGATCGTTCACAAGCATTCTTGAACATGGATGACTCAATAGTCATCGGTTGTTCCGAAAACCATATGATCAAAAATTTAACAAATATTTTTGACTTTTCTAGGTCATAAGTGTAATGATCAAGGTATATTACCAAATGACAAAGAGTACATTGTCATTGAAAAATACCCAGTCACTACGGACGCTGATAGCGCTAGACGATTTGTTGCCTTTTCCAATTATTGCAGACGTTTTATAAAAAATTTTGCAGACTATTTACGTCACATAACAAGATTATGCAAAAAGAACGTAAAATTTGAATGGACTAATGTTTGCCAAACCGCATTCGAATATCTAAAGAAAACTCTAATGAAGCCAACTTTACTAAATTATCCCGATTTTAGCAAAGAGTTTTGCATAATAACGGATGCAAGTAAACAAGCTTGAGGAGCAGCTTTAACCCAAACTTATGGTGATAAGCAATTACCCGTAGCAAACGCTTCTCGTTCATTCACGAAAGGTGAAAGTAATAAAAATACAACAGAGCAAGAGTTAGCAGCCATTCATTAGGCAATAACCCATTTTCGACCATACATATATGGTCAACATTTCACTATTAAAACAGATCACAAACCACTTACTTATTTATTTTCAATGGACCAGTTTAAAATTAACTAGAATGAGGCTATATATAGAAGAGTATAAGTTTACTGTAGAATATCTAAAGGGAAAAGACAATTTCGTAGCGGATGCGTTATCTAGAATAACCATCAACGATCCCAAAAACACAAACAGTAATATCTTGAAAGTCACTAAAAGATATCAAAGTAGACAAAATAAATCCTGCGCAGGATAAGAACAAGGAATATTGCCACTGTATACCATTGCCATTGTATACGTCATCATTCAAAACGACGATATATGCAAAATAGTGACCTTGCATATAACAAATATGCTATGCTTATTAAAGCATGGTAAAAAGATTATTGCAAGAATTGAGATAAGCGACCTATATACCTTTGGAACTCTTGGCTAAGGTCAATTTTTCCAAAGGCTTAAAAAAGAAGCCGGTATAATAGGAATCAGCCAACTCAAAGTGGTACCAAATAGAAAATGAACAAGTCAGAGGTTCTAGTCGGGAGCTCCCGAGGATACCCTGAACCCTCTTACTTCAACACCAAATGCAGCTCGCGTTACACGCTCGTTTGCTTTAGTAGAAATGAAGAAAAAATAAAAAAAAAAAAGTTCCCTTGGCAGGGTTCGAGCTGACCGCATTACTTGCTGCCCCCTCTACGCAACAGCCACACCAGTCAAAAAAAAAAAAAAGTTTCGTCAGTAGGGTTCGAATCCGTAAATGATCGCGCTTCTTGCCGCCACCTCTACTCCATAGCAACACCAACATTTAAGTCTTGGTGAGAAAAAAAAAAAATTAAAATTGAAGCACAGAAAACAATACAATCGCAATTGCAATGCTGTTGATATAATTCAAAGCAGACGCGCCTGAATGTGAAAGTGTACAAGTATATAAAAATTATTGGAATTTGCTCTAGCTGCTGCTAACACGTGCGCACATAACTTTTGTGTTTCTTAAACGATCTTAATGAAATTCAGCAGTAGATCTTATTGTTTAATACTATAAAATATTCGTGTATTCTCAAATTGACAATTGCATTTAAATTGTGGCTTAAATAGGTAGGAAATACAATTGCTGAACCCTCTTTTACCAACACCAAATTCAGCTCGCGCTACGCGCTCGTTTGCTTCAGCAGTACTAAATATACAAAAAAAAACAAGTAAGAGGTTCTAGTCGGGAGCTCCCGACTAGGGGATACCCTGAACCCTCTTCTTCCAACGCCAAATGCAGCTCGCGCTACGCGATCGTTTGATTTAGTAGTTATAAAAAAAATGAAAATAAAAAAAAAAAATTGTTCCCTTGGCAGGGTTTGAACTCGCAACTAACAGCACCACTTAGCGCTGCCTCTACTCAAGGGCCACACCAATAATTGAGCTTTAACGAGAAAAAAAACCAATTAAAATAGTAGCACAGAAAAGAATACAATCGCAATTGCAATGCTGTTGATAGAATTCAAAGCAAACACGCATGATTGTGTGTGTGTACATGTATACAGAAATTCTTGGAATTTGCGCAGCAGCTATGCACATAACTTTTGTGTTTCTTAACCGATCTTAATGAAATTTTCGACAGTACATCTTAATGTAGAATAGAATAAAGAATATTTGTATATTCTCAAAAATTCAATTGCATATAAATTGTGGCTTAAATTGATGAACAATACAAGTTGGATAATTAACTTGATTTATAGCTTTGTGGTGGTAGCGGGGAGGTGGCGATAGGTAAAAAATGAAAGATACTTGATATATATACTATAGCACCATATTAATTTTGGTGACTCTAGCTCTTTTTATTTACCCAATTTGCTCGAAAAACAGGAGTTCGATAACGATTTTTATCGATTGCTTGGAAATAGAGTAAGTTATCGACTATCGGAAACAAACTCGTGCTGCGCATGGCCTAGGAGGACCTACAGCTAATCAAATTTCAAGTCTCTAGCTCTTATAGGTTCTGAGATCCTTGCGTTCATATATACGGACGGACGGACGGACATGCGGACAGACAGATGGTCATGGGTAGATCGACTCAGCTGATGATGCAGATCAAGAATATATGTGGGGTTTTATTTTAATATTTTATTACAACTAGGTGTATTATTTAATTAAAAAATGAAAGTGTTTAGCATAATAGTTATCACTTGATTGAATTCACGCGTCCTTCACACAGGTCTAGCGATGAACATTCCGTCTTCACGAGCAAACGTCTTCAGCCCGTCGTACAGCACTTCGCCCTCGTGGCTTTGTACCGTCTTCGTTGATCGTCGTTTTTTGGCTAACTCGCCGCCTTGCGAATTCGCCGTCCTCTTTGCTCGTTGTCATCATCATGTAATCGTTGTTCATCTCTAAGCATTTTCGGAGTCTAGGGATTAGACCTTAATTTGAGTAAAGGAGGTTAAGTACTTTTAAAAAATTAAGTAGGTCATAAATTAGAAAATAAATACCTACGACCATATACGGTAGTAAGCATAATAGAAAAAGATAATGCTATAAGGATTTTAGGGTAATAAAGGGTCAAGAGCAAAAAGTTCATAAGGATAGATAACAAATTTTTAATTCATAATACATTTGAATTTTCTTAACGAATTCGAATTCAAAATCAAAAAAAATTTTACCACGGCCTGATCAGCCAAATGAAAAAAAAAGCAAGTAAGAGGTTCAAGTCGGTTCCCGACTAGGGGATACCCTGAACCCTCTTATTCTTATGTACACTAAATGCAGCTCGCGCTACGCGCTTGTTTGCTTTAGTAGAAATAAAATTAAATTAAAAAAAAAAAAGTTTCCTTGGCAGGGTTTGAACTCGCAACTGACCGCATTACTTGCTGCCGCCTCTACGCAACAGCCACAACAGCCAAAAATAAAAAATTGTTTCCTCGGCAGGGTTCGAGCTAGAAACTGACCGCGCTACATTCCGCCGCCTCTACTCAATAAACACACCAATAATTAAGTCTTGATGAGAAAAAAACGAATTAAAATAGCAGCACAGAAAACAATACAATCGCAATTGCAATGATGCGATAGAATTCAAAGAAGACGCACATGAATGTGTGTGTTCATGTGTACAAAAAATCTTGGAATTTGCGCTTGCAGCTGCACGTGCTTGTAGGCCAAAACACATTTTCTTTCGTGTTTCTTAGCCGATCTTGATGAAATTTTCAGTAGTATATCATATTTTACTTCAAAGTATTCGTGTATTGTCAAAATGACAATTGCATTTAAATTTTGGCTTAATTAGACAGGCAATACAAGTTGGTTTACTAACAAGATTTATAGCTTTGCGGTGGCGATAGCTATAAAATGAATGATACTTGATATA